CCACGTTAGTATGTTTTGAGAAAAAGATGCAACTCAAGCACTTTATAAAAAATATTTGTATCTATTTTTCACTGTTCGAATTTATGACCTATAAATTATTCGAAGGCAAATTCACCGTTACTTTAACATATTCATGATATGGTAGTCTCTTTTAGCACCGTAAATAAAATGAGTTTAGAAATTTATCATTTTGAACTCTTTTATTTTTGAGGGGCCCTTTTACACCAACCTTTACTCTCTTGGTTGAATTATTGAATTGAGAAAATAATAAATCAGATGAAGTCTTTGTCTTCTTATAGAGTGAAAAGTCTTTTTTTTTTTTCTCTGACCAAATGACTAGTAAGTGTCTTAAATAGGAATTACTTTATCTTAACAAAATCTCTACCATAATTAGGTTTTATTTTATCCTTAATTGATAAAACAATAAACACAAGTATGATATATGAAAGATGTGTTGCTCGAAATTACTATTGTCTACTTATATTTTAATTTAGTAGGATTATTAAGTAAATATTGAACAAAATAAATTTGTTAAAATTTACATAGCAAAACAAGTCAACAGATGTATATGCATCCTCACATAAACGTGTGGGGTCCACCTGTGTACAACCCCCATGTGCCTTCAATTATTCAATTGAGAAGGTAATGAATAGGAACTAGCAAACATAGTTGTACCAATTACAAGTTCTTGTTTGCAAATTTACTAGTAAAAGAGAGAGAGAGATTGAGAGATATCAGTGATCATTCTTGTTTGGAAATTACTCTTAGCATTCAACAGGTAAAGTAAAGTTGTTAGTAATTGAAGATTGAAAAATTTATCTTGTCAAAATTCTTAAAAAATCATTTTGTGTTCTCCTTGTTTTGCTTTTCAGATTTCAAAAATGGAGATTGGCTTAGCAGTTGGTGGTGCATTTCTCTCTTCAGCTTTGAATGTTCTCTTTGATAGGCTTGCTCCTAACGGTGAGCTGCTCAAAATGTTTCAGAAGCGTAAGAATGATGTTCAGCTCTTAAAGAAGCTGAAATTGACTTTGCTTGGTCTTCAAGCTGTGCTAAGTGATGCAGAGAACAAGCAGGCATCAAATCCATCTGTGAGCGAGTGGCTTAATGAGCTTCGACATGCTGTGGACTCTGCTGAAAACTTGATTGAACAAGTCAATTATGAAGCTTTGAAGCTTAAGGTGGAAGGTAAGCATCATAATCTTGCAGAAACAAGCAACCAGCAAGTAAGTGACCTCAACCTGTGCTTGAGTGATGATTTCTTTCTTAAAATAAAGGAGAAGTTGGAAGACACTATTGAAACATTGAAAGATTTGCAAGAACAAATTGGTCTCCTTGGCTTAAAGGAGCATTTTGGTTCGACTAAACAAGAAACTAGAACACCTTCAACTTCTTTGGTTGATGATTCTGATATCTTTGGTCGGCAGAAGGAATAAAGGATTTGATTGACCGTTTATTGTCTGAAGATGCAAGTGGAGGAAACTGACTGTAGTTCCTATTGTTGGAATGGGCGGTGCGGGTAAGGACAACACTAGCTAAAGCGGTTTACAATGATGAGAAGGTGAAGAACCATTTGGTTGAAAGCTTGGTATTGTGTTTCTGAGCCATATGATGCTTTGAGAATAACGAAAGGGTTACTTCAAGAAATTGGCTCAATTTGACTCAAAGGATGATGGCAATCTTAATCAGCTACAGGTCAAATTGAAGGAAGCCTGAAGGGAAGAAGTTTCTTGTTGTCCTTGATGATGTGTGGAATGATGACTATAGTGAGTGGGATAACCTGAGAAATGTTTTTGTACAAGGAGATATGGGAAGTAAGATCATTGTAATTACACGTAAGGAGAGTGTTGCTCAGACGATGTGTGCTGATTGTTGCGCAATCACCGTGGGGACTCTGTCTAGTGAAGACTCTTGGGCTTTATTCAAACGACATTCACTAGAAAATAGGGATCATCCAGAACTTGAAGAGGTTGGGAAAAAAATTGCAGTGAACTGCAAAGGGTTGCCTTTAGCTCTAAAGGCACTTGCTGGTGTTTTACGCGGCAAATCAGAGGTAGATGAGTGGAGAAACATTTTAAGAAGTGAAATATGGGACCAGCGTTGTTGGAATGGTATATTACCAGCATTGATGTTGAGCTACAATGATCTTCCTGCACATTTGAAGCGATGCTTTGCTTTTTGTGCAATATATCCCAAAGATTATCAATTCTGCAAAGACAAACTTATTTACCTGTGGATTGCTAATGGTCTTGTAAAGCAGTTTTGTTCAGGTAACAAATACTTTGACGAGTTGAGATCAAGATCATTGTTCGAACAGGTCCCAGAGTCTGAATGGCAATCGGAGAGATTCATAATGCATGACCTTATCAATGATTTGGCCCAAACTGCATCTTCAAAACTTTGTATTAGGTTGGAAGAGAACGAAGGATCTGATGATATGTTGGAACAATGTCAGCACATGTCCTATTCCATGGGACAAGAAGGTGAATTTGAGAAATGCTGACGACATTGGTAACTTTGAGAAATTGAAACCACTCTCCAAATTAGAGAAGCTGAGGACATTGCTTCGAACCAATATCAGTTTCTTTTCTCTGCTAAGCAAGAGGGTGTTGCATAACATACTTCCAAGACTGACATCCTTAAGGGCATTATCATTGTCTCATTACCATAATAAGGAGTTGCCAAATGACTTGTTTATCAAATTAAAGCTCCTCAGATTTTTGGACCTTTCTGAAACATTGATTGAAAAGTTACCAGATTCCATTTGTGCATTGTATAACTTGGAGACACTTCTCCTGTCATCTTGTAAAAATCTTAAGGAGCTACCGCTGCAGATGGAGAAGTTGATCAACTTGCGTCACCTCGACATAACCAACACTCTTCGCTTGAAGATGCTGCTACATCTGAGCAAGTTGAAAAGCCTCCAAGTCCTAGTGGGAGCCAAGTTTCTTGTAGGTGGTAGCGGTGGTTTGAGAATGGAAGATTTGGGTGAAGTAGAGAACTTGTATGGATCTCTATCAGTTTTAAAGTTGCAAAATGTGGTTGATAAAAGGGAAGCTCTGAAGGCAAAGATGAAGGAGAAGAATCATGTTGAGAAGTTATCATTGAAGTGGAGTGTAAGTACTGCTTACGATTCACAAACTGAAAGATCCATACTTGATGGGCTACGCCCATACACAAACATAAAAAAAGTCAAATTGGCTGGCTGATCCTTCATTTCTTCAGCTAGTAAAATTGTTTCTTAGCAACTGCAAGGACTGTGATTCTTTGCCAGCACTAGGACAGCTTCCTTCTTTGAGATTTCCTTTACATTAGAGAGATGCATGGAATAACAGAGGTGACGGAAGAATTCTATGGTAATTCATCCTCCAAAAAGCCTTTTAACTCTCTTGAGAAGCTTGACTTTGCAGATATGCCAGAGTGGAAGCAATGACACGTACTAGGAAGTGGCGAGTTCCCTTTACTTGAGTACCTTTCAATTGAAAAATGTCCGAAGTTGATGGGGAAGTTGCCTGAAAATCTTTCTTCTCTGACAACATTAAGAATTTCAGAGACACCTCTTTTTGAGGAAGCTCAACTGTTTAGATCCCAATTTGAGGGAATGAAGCAGATTGTTGAATTAGAAATTCGTGATTGTAATTCTCTTACCTCCTTACCTTTTAGCATACTGCCCAGTTCCTTGAAGAGAATAAGGATATCTCATTGTCAGAGATTGAAATTGGAGGAGCCAGTTGGTTATTGTAACATGTTTCTCGAGGAATTGAAACTGGATAAATGTGATTCTATAGATGATATATCACTTGAGTTTCTCCCAAGAGCACGCAAATTGTCTATTTCGCGTTGCCAGAACGTTACTAGGTTTTTGATTCCAACTGCCACTGAAAGTCTCAGTATTTGGGAATGTGAGAATCTTGAAATACTTTCGGTGGCAGTTGAGTCTGCGATGACGTCTTTGGATATTTCGTATTGTGAGAAGCTCAAGTGTCTGCCAGAAATAGAGCTCTTCAATTTACAAGTCCTTAAGATCAGTCATTGCAAGAAACTAGTGAACGGCCGAAAGGAGTGGTGTTTACAGAGACTTCCATGTCTCACAGAGTTGATGATCGAACATGATGGCAGTGATGAAGAGATCCAACATTGGGAGTTGCCTTCCTCTATTAAAAGACTTGAGGTATGGAATCTGAAAACATTAAGCAGCCAAGTTCTCAAAAGCCTCACCTCTCTTCAATATCTATTTATTGAGGGTAATTTACCTCAAATTCAGTCACTGCTGGAACAAGGTGGGCTTCCCTCCTCTCTTTCTGAACTACTTTTATGGAACCATGATGAGCTCCATTCACTACATCTTTGCCACCTCACTTCACTTCTATGTCTACACTTCTTGAATTGCCGTAATCTCCAATCACTCTCCGAATCAACACTGCCCTCCTCCCTCTCTCAGCTGATCATCATGAATTTCCCTAAACTCCAATCACTCTCCGAATCAACACTGCCCTCCTCCCTC